TAAATAATAAAACTATAATAAAAATTTTATTATAGTGTTTTGAAAGCTGTCAAGATGAGCTACAAGAATATGTAATGGAAAATGGAAGTTTTTATTTTAAAAAATCTATTTGACTTTAATGATGTTAAATCAGTAAATACATTTTTTTAAATCTTATAACTTTTGTCGAAGACATTTTTCTAAAAAAATACACTTTCCGAGATATTAGACTGTTTTCAGATTTTTGCTAGGTATATATTTAATTGCTCATTACTCGGCTTCCGAAGTTAATTAGCAGGAACGGCTTTGCAGATGTGTTCACTTGGTAGGTTCCTCTAACATCACTGCAAATGCTGTTTGATCAAAATCAGTGATGAACAGAACGCAGCCTTTCCTTGTAAGGCTTCAATTTATTAATCTAATTTCTTGAAATGATCAACAATGATAAGTTAGAAAATTACAAAAATCTATTAGATCAAAATTAATATAATAGATCATATTTTGTTACTTAAATATTTTATATTCATTAGTTGTAAATAACAACAAATAAATATATTCTTTATGCGTAGCAAATAAGTAATAATGCAAAAAGAATTTATTACAAAATGCCGTTTAATGAAAAATGAAATACCGTCACATTGTTCTTTATGCTGATAGAATTGTGTGAGATAAACATTTGTGAAGATCGATCGAACATTGGAACAGTATATTATCAGTCTACATTAATTAACATTCCAATACCAGATAGTGTGCAGCTTGCGATTATTTTTATTTAATCCGGATGATTCAATATCGATTTCGAGATTACCGCGTTTTCAAATGACTTGAAGTGTACCTGCTATTTCCAAAGTAGGTTAACTGTTTTAAGGAATAATAGTTATTTTTTTTGGTAGCAGTTTTTATTTTAGCCTCAAAAAAGTAGACCAATAATATTGTATTGCTTTATTGTCTTTTATATATTTTATCGTACTTTTATAAGATGAAATTTAAAAATAACTTTGAACATATTTCTTACAACATATATACCTATTATTTCCTATAATTTTTTTTCTCTCTGTATCAGTTGTCTATCAAAAAACAATGAATCGCAAAGCCTAACTTTCCTAATCTAAATTGTTGTTACCGAGCCCTCAACGCGAGTAATGAATGTCCCAGAATTTTCCGCTTACCTACGCAAGGGTTCACCCAGAGAAGCCGCTGCCAACCCAGACAGCCATATAACTGGTTAAGTTCGGTGCCCTTACAAGCGCAATTAGTATGAAGTTCAGTACCCAGAATGCCCAGCATCGCTTTTCTGCACTCGGAGGTTGGTCCGGCGCATTTCTTCGTCATGCTGTCGACCGCGCAACTCTGTTCGTAATACTCTAGTCTAAGTCTAGAAAAATAAAGATACCAATTACATAGAATAGATGATCAATTAAGTTTGGAGTGGCTCTTATAAAGGAAATAAAATAAAAAATTCTTGAAATATTATATAGTTCATTTTGAAAGGTAAATCAAAATAAACTGCATAATATTTCAAAAAATTTTTATTCTATTTTTTTTATAAGAGCTGCCAAAAAAAATTTTTTTAATTATGACAAAATTGGCATGTTGAAAGCTGTAATGATTTCTCGTAAGTGGCGCAAAAATTGTTTATTAATATATGCATAGTCAATTATATTTAGAAAATTATTATAGATACATATATTAATAGAATAACTACTATAATTTCAAATGTGGTATAATTTCTAAACAAAATAAGATTTGAATATAATTTTCAAGATTTAAATTTGATTTTTTTCTATTTAGTAGTACTTTTTAGTACTCTTTACACAATTGAGAATTATTAAACTTTAACATCAATTGGATTTAAACTTTATTTGTTCAAAATTGTACTTACGCTAATTTTTTTAAATATAATTATACATCAATGCGAATTACATATTAATGATAAATATTTTTGCACTAGTTACGCGTAATTATTGTTGCATTCGACATGCTAGTTTTATAATAATGTCAAAACATATATATTTATCCACATTAAAAAAAATTTAATTTACTAAATATCAAAAAAAGCAGATAGTAATATTCATTTCACTAATTTCTTCTAACAGTAAACAAAATGGAAAGACAGATGTTCGTATATTAATTAAACATGGACTTTCTATTGAAATATCAATAATCATCTGTAAATATAAATGACGGTCTACAAATTAAACATAAAATGGATTTAATTGATAAATTGATTGATTTTCGAGATAAATAATTACTTTAATTAAAAAGATATCCTAAAGTGTCTTTGGAATCAATAATTATAAGTGATGCTGTAACAATCATTGAATTGTATACCTGTATGACCATTATATAGTGATTAATACTAGATGATCAAAAGGACTAATATTGTAACAATGACCAATCGCGGATATTCTCATTGATCATAGAGATTGTTAGTGTGGCAAATAAATATACATATGATAAAACATGAACTTTGCTTCTACATAGAAGCGTTTCAATTACAGTATTTAATTTTTCAATTATAACATTTGGCTAATTATTTAAAATTAAAACGTGCATATTTTTACATAAAAAAATTATTATTTTGCAAAATTTCTTTATTTTTGTCTTTATGAATGATAAATTTTTCATTGTTTGACATTATATATATATATATTTTTATTCTATTTTGTTAAATATAGAGAAATATATTATACAATATAGAATAATGTTTAATATTTTAAATAATAAGTAGGAACGTATTGTTTATTTTAAAATAAATTTATTTATCCACATCCTATAAAATTTAATATCATAAATTTATTTTATTTTCTATATAATTAGATGTAGAAACATGCAAATTCAATTTCTAATCTGAATCGATTTCTCAATAAGATCATTGCGTAGATACTATTACACTACATTTGTATATTAAACGTAGAAATCAAATGTTTTTGATTTATATTTAAAATAAAGGTAATGACGGAGTCGTTAAATTAGTCAAACAAATGTCTAAATTCAAAAAACACTGAAGTTCATTAGCCAAGTTTTTAACACTGTTTGCATTGGATAAATAATAAACAGATAAACGTGCAATGGATGCGTAAAAGTTGTTACAACACACACACACACACACACACGCACACACACACACACACACACACACACACACACACAAATAATAAAAATTTTATTCTTTACATAACTTTTAATAAGTCGTTTAATTATAAAATATTACTATTATACATCTTACATATTACATTAAAAGTCAAAAAAATATATTAAATAAAAGTTCTAAATCAATAAAAAAGGTATTAATAGTTTGTATACTAATAGTAAAGTAGTTGAAATATTTAAAAATAAAAGAAACATTATATATATTAATAATTTTACCAATGATTTAATTAATCATGGTACTCAGAGCAATGTGTTGATTCTGTTAATTGCAAGTTCCGCGATTTGCTTGCAAACTGTTATTATAAAAATCAAAAGGCGCATTTAAGCAATCATTAAAAAAGTATTTAAATAAATGCTATAAAGACACTTCAAAGTGTACAAATGCATCTTGACTCACAAAGCGTCTGCGGCACGCAGCAATTAATCGTTTTTTCCGTCGCATATAGATACCTCTAAATAGCAAAATTAAAAATGGATTTGTTCATCCTCGGCGATAAATCAATTAAAGCGCTGAATCGGACCACGCATACGTACGTGCGTGCATGCACGCGTGTTTTAATTTAATCGATCAGCGACGCGCTTGCACACGTTCCATCGCTCACAATTGCACCTCCTTTTCGTCCATTTCAATTCCCCGTTACTCACGTTATTTTTTTTGAACGTATTTATTAACGAGAAGTGCATTTTACTTCCGCACATAATATTTCAATTTTTGTTATTGAGTTTGAAATTTTATCATTAAATAAGAGATGATATAACTACATAATTTGTGACATATTCAATAATGTTTATAAACGGTGAAAAATATACAATAAAAGCTTGCAAATAATTTCGATAATTTAAAAATTGATTAATTTTTTTGCTTTTTTTTATTAAAATAAAGTAAAAATAAAAAATCATACATTAATTTCAAATTTACATATATATATGTAAATTTAATAGTACTGTACAAAAAAAAAATTATTTTATATCATTGTATAGGTCCCTTTAAAAGTGACACAATTTAAAAAAATAAGTTTTTCAGAAAAGGGAATAACTGTTCTTAATTATTTCTTAACTTAATACATAATAATTACAGATAATTACACAAGTTTACAGTAAAATGATTAGAAGTAGTTTTTTAATTTAATTGTGAACCATATATAATATTAAAAAATGTGACTATATTTGTGATATGGTCTACTAGACTATAATTATGAATATAATTATAGTTTTACGAGTATAATTATAGTTTTACTTTTTTTTCTACATTAGAATGGAATATACTCATTTTTAATAAATTAACTCTTCATTACTTTGATCATAGTTTACATTCTGATCCATTGAGAGAATCAGCATATATTTTTATATGTAATTTTAACTCTATATTCTTCGTGTTAATTAATATTCGTATAATACTTTATATATAAGATTCAATTAATAACATTTCCACGCAATTTTATGCATGATAACTATCAATCAATATGCTAAATCGGAATGTATCTTCCATGGAAAGATAGTACTTTAAAAAATAAATTTTTTTGCACAAAGCGATGTCTCTCTACCATTGTCCTCATATTTTTTTGTAAGATTCTTCGAAACAAGCGAAAACTGTGCAATGGAAACGGGAACAAAATTGACACGTAAATAATAATGTCCAATTAGAACGACGCAATCTTATCTCGCTAAGTAAACCAGGGGACACCCGATTAAACACCGCAAACACGTCGTCCCTTATTTTTTCTCGCAGTTTTGCCGGAACTTTTTCAATTTTAAAGTTAAATCGCGATTCAACAAGATTTATACGCGCGCTAATGCAATATTTCCTTAGTCAAGAGGACGTCCGTCCAGAGTGCAGGACTATGAGGGATGAAATGTTCTTACCTTCTAGATTTGGCGACAATGTATATGAGTATCGCTTTAAATGAATCCGCTTATGCATTGAGAAAACTACTTTATCTTACAGAAGTTTCATATTCAACAGAATCTTTGTTAAGACAAAATTAGCAGTTATTAAAAACCTTGTTAAAAGCTTTTGTAATTGATTATATAGTTATGGTAAAATGATGATGTTGAAATGATTGTTTTATATCTATTAATATAAGGCTTATATCTATTAATATTAAGAATGTTTGTTCTTAAAACATGCACATGTGTACCTGTTTCGGTCAAATTTGCTACTCGTTTCCAGAGATTTTTTTTTCACATGTTTCGCTTAACATTTCTACATTTGCGCATGATCCGTTGTGTATGGATAGTTCATGTAAAAACATGCAAATTTTCAAAAACGTGAATATGACGCACTGCCTCACCTACAACTCCTGTTCTCTTTGCAAGTCTCGGCTAGACTATGACACGTTGGCATTTCGGCGCCGTCTATGCGTTGCGCGCAAGTTGGATGCATTTTCTCTTGCGCCACTATGCACTCGTCCTTTTTGTTGTCCGTTTTCCTGTAAAAAACATAGACGAGTATATAATAAGACTCAGGAAATTATTTAAAAAATTCTTTAAGCACACTTTTATTTATACAGAAGTAAACTCCAACAAAGTTATGACTGTAATATTCCAAAACAAGAAACAATTGGTGTTAAAAGAAAAATATCTTAACATAAAGTTTATACTACATGTATAGATAACAGACATTAAAATTTATTTCAGATTTATTTATCGAATAAAGCGAGCAGAATAACAAAACAAATATTAAAGTTATCATTATATTTAAAAAAAATGATTATTTTATATAACATTAATATATTATATTTTGAACGATAGCTTAATTAATTATACAACTTTAGCTTCAGCTGAAGAGCTAATCAGTTTTTTGTATTGCATTGAAATATACGATACAAGAATGAGAATAATAACAATTAATTTACGACTTTATTTTTTGATTAATTTTTTAATTAATGCAATCCAAGTATTATAGTACTTACAATTAATGTTTTACCGAGAAACGGCAAATTGAAGTGTTAATTATGGCATAATTGGCAAAAGATGAATGTGGCGCACATTTCTTGTTCTTTTAATCAAATACGTATTTTTTATTTATTTATTCAGATTTTTTTTCTATTTCCGTTCAGTTTTTATTTCAAAATACATAAAAAGAGGATTTTATGAAAAAGACTGCAACGAGGATTCGTGGGATAAGAATAAGATACGAAACGAAAACGGAAAGTTTCCGCATTGTGTCGCAACCAAAAGCTACTTAAAAGTTAAAGTAGGCTCGTTAAAAAATACGAGCTTTTCGCGCAAGAGGAATATTACGGTTGCTTCGAAAATTTCGTCGAAATTGTCATTGCGAGATTTCCACTCGCCTCTATTTGTCCAGCTTGATATTTTGGAAAAATTTGTACGTGCAATTTCTGCGAAATAATTTCTCTCAATTGTTATGAGCGTGAAGTAATTTTGCGAAAGAATGCAGTTATCGTAATATGAGATTAGACTAATACGAAACATGAGCTGTTTGAGCATTGCTAAATGTCTTTTGCTTTAAACAATAGTATAGTAGTCAACAATAGTAGTCAATAACTAAAATAAACTTTAATTTTAATGCATATGATCATTCTAAATGATATAAAATAAATACAAAAATTACTGGGTTATCTAATGCAAGACATAAATAAATTCTATCTATTAATTTGAAACGCCTTTGGAGAGAGTAAACACCTAGAAATTCATAAAAGGGATCTAAGATAGGACAAGTGTCCAACAATTACTATTCATACTACCATATTTTATTTTAGATATGTGGATGACATTTTGTTGGCTGCTCTTGAAAATAGATGAAAATATTTGAATGATATTCTAGATGTTTTGAATTTATTACAAGAACGTCTACAGTTTGCTATATATTAAAGCGAAAAATAATAATCAACTAAATTTTTAAATGTATTGTTGATAGGAGATATGGATACTATCATTTTTTATTTTTTATTCATAAAGCTACATTTTCGGAAAGATATTTGAACTACTCCAGCGAGGTTTGAATAGCCATGTTTCGTATTATTTTAATTTATTATTAATATAAGATTGAGTTGTATCCACAATGTGGTGCTGTAACGGATAAAGATCATAGCATTGGTTAATATTAAAAAAATAGTTTAATAATTACGAAAGTCCCGTCGTTCCCTCACATTCTCGAGATTAAGATCTTTGATTATTTTTACGCAAAATATACGAGTGTAAATTAACTCTTCCTCCTCGTGTTCTTCATCTACTAATTTTCTGTGATATCTACTAATCTTATTTTAAAAACAGTTTCTCAATCTTTAACTTTATTGCAACCGATTAAAAAATTTATTAGCATAATAGAAGATAAATTTGTGTTTTATTTAGAATTTTAAAAAATATAATAAAAATTACATTTAGCTTGCTAATGTTCTTACCTTTCAAAATTTTAATCTGTATACATTATGAAAGTTTTTTTTATACATAAAGAATATTAAAGAATGTTAAAGATCGTGTCTGCAGTAAGATATCGATGCATAGAAGAAATTGCGGCTTGTCATTACGTCAACTTAGTTTCTCATAATGCACCAAGAACAATTGGTTGCAATCATGCGTCCCTTCCATTCTTTATTCATCTCTGCAATTCTCTGCCGCATTGTGCGCATTATTACTTCCATCCGAGTTCAGCTGAATACATGACGCAGAGATCCATCGGGAACATGATCTGGCATTTCTGTCAGTTAAACGTGTTTGCGTTTTCTTTTTCGTTATATCGGTATGGTTCGGTTGCGCGTAACGCCGGATGCAATGTAACGGGCACTACTCGGCCATATGCGCGGGGCACGCATTGTTTTACGTAGCGATTCGAAGCTCCGGCTTCAATTGCCTGATATGCAGAATTTTGAAAAATTTTTCGCCGGCACGAACGTGTGCGAACGTAATTAGAATGCGAGTTAACAACGCGCGTCCTTCGATTAATTTCAAATTAATTTACGACGGCGCCGACAGTTGATTCGTCATCTCGCGCTTGCAGCTGCGCCACTACTGTTACAATAATCCGTTATTAATTCACGTTGCGTCGCGCATTGTGTCGCGGCATAGTCGCTTGCATAGCTTCTGCGTTAATATTTTAACGTGACTTTCTCACGACAATGTACAGCTAATTAAATATTCAACGTCGACAGAACGCAACCGAAAAGGGCAATCGTTCCAGTGTAGTTATGTCGATAAAAATCTTTCTGCTGAAAAGAATGCTCTTAGCGAGAGACACGAAGCATGCAATAAACTTTCAAAATGATAAAGTATACTTTACGATGATATGTGGTGGCCATAAAAAAGAAAAAAACGAAAAGCCCATGTAAGTCTATCTATAATATTAAATAAAAGTATATATATTAATATATATATATATATATATATAGTGTGTGTGTGTGTGTGTGTGTGTA